TCTGTAAGGCCACCTGCGCCGTAAGGAGCAGTGACTCAGACCCCACCCTCTCTCTGATCTGTTCTCTCTTCCCCCCAACATCTTTCTCTCTCTCTCTCTCTCTCTCTCTCTGCACGTGCTCCTTCCCCAGGCCTGGTTCTCTTGTCCGTGCCCCCTCTTCCTCCTAATAAAGCACAGATACTGATACTGGGTCTTGTCGTGACCTGGTAACCAGCACTGGTAACCAGAGCCGCTTATCATTCTTACATTTGGTGCCTTAGTATGTATGTCCCACATGCATGCAGGTGCCCATGGAGTCCAGAAGAGGGTGACAGAGTCCCTGGAACTGGGTGCTGTGGCTGTAGCTCTGTGGCAAGGCAACTGCCTGAAGCCCTAGGCTCAATTTTCGACCCCCTCCCCCCACAATTTTTTTGCAGTTTTTAATCTGTACTTCTCATGGGTATTTTCCTAAGATAACATTTTTTTTTTTTTTTTATTAATGGAAGGAGAAGTGTTGTGTCCAGATCGTGACCCCCAGAGAGACCACCAAAGACGAGCATGCCGGAATGCAAAAGCAAGGTTTAATTCTGGATATCCAAAAGCAATACAAGCCTAGGCAGGGACTTCGTCCAATACATCCAACGCAGTGGAGGCTGGAGGAAGTGCCCGCCTGTCTGCAAGCTCAGTTTTTAAAGGGAAAAATCACAAGGTTACATCGTTTAGGGGTGCTAGTATGGCGACAATTCTGATTGGCTCGCTGCTAGGGGCTTTCTAGAAATCATGGCTTAATCTTACTTCTAAGGGAGTGGTTGCCCTCCACTATTTCTCATTGGCTGCCTTCAGGTGGGGGCATTTTTATGGTCAGTTACCCTGGAAACCAGGTAGTGGACATTCCATAGTCCGGCAGTCATTACGTCGTGACTATCTTGTGACTCTGTACTTTTACATTTCCTGGTTTCTGGAATCTGAACTGACTGGTTTCAGTAACTAATGGCCCATTCCCAAAAGGAGAAATCTTAGGCCTTAATTTTAGGGTGAAAGCATTTTGGTCTTATTTCTAAGACAGCTCATTTTGGTCTCACAAAAGGACCATCTAGAGAGTGCCGTTCAGAAGTCAAGGACAGAGCCTCAGCAGGCCTAGCGAGCAAGAGTCGCAGGAAAGCCTGCGGGATCTCTTCCTACATCCCAGAGACCTGGAGTCACAGCGTAGGGGAAAAATAGGCAGGGTGGGCCCGGTTCCTGTCTGCTCCGTCTCCACCTTGGGCCCATTAAAACAAATTATCTCGCACTCGGGAGGCAGAGGCCAGGAGGATCTCTGTGAGTTCAAGGCCAGCCTGGTCTACAGAGCGAGATCCAGGACAGGCACCAAAACTACACAGAGAAACCCTGTCTCAAAAAACAAAACAAACAAACAAACAAAAAAATTATCTCAGAAACTAGCTCCATACGGGAAGCTCGGCAAGTGGAAATGGTACTCTTTGGGGTGCTCATCAGCACGAGACAAGAACAATTAAAAGTACTTATCTGCCTTTGCCCGAATGTCCTCTCCGACTCCTCACATCAGCAAAAACCATCACGTAAGGATCTTCATCACTATGTTTATGAAGTCATTCACAATCCCACTCTTTTAACAGTTCCTCTTCCGGTGGGTGTTTGTGGCTTTCCTCCCTTGGTCATTAGGAGTGATAAAAGTCCTCAGCGCTTGGCAGGCACATTATGTTTTTAAAAATTAAGTCTTTGGGCCGTCATGGTCAGTGGCTTTCAGATTCTTATTTATAACTCTGCTTCCCTAATAATGTAGATATCATGACTCAGTCCCCCCCCCCCCCCAGCACAGAAACTCAAACAAGCTTTCACGAGGAAGAAAACACCCATAAAAGGTAGAGGGCATGAAGGTATTTTCTGCTCAGTTCTAGTCTTACATTCCATTTAAAAAAAAAAATGCTAGCAAAGACCCTCCATTCTTTCCTCATGAATGGACCATAAATTGCAGTTTAGAAAACATTCTGAATTTTGTGGGGTAACGGAAAACACTGAATTCTGAAACGTAGCTTTCCCGCACTATCATTCTTGTGTATTACTTTATGGAAATGTTATGGTAAAAACAAAATAATCTCTGCCAAGGGCAGGAGTTTTTAGCTTCTTTTTTTTTGGACAGGCTCTCTGTAGCCTGCTGCCTTTGTCTCTCAAATTCTAGGACTCCAAGGCGTGAACCACCACACCCAGTTTAAGTTTATTGTTATTCTGATTACCTCTCAGTCCTTGGGAAACACTGGCCAAATCCTTGCATACTTATCTTTAGAAATAAAGCCTAGGTTTGGGCATATAATCAGGCGGCAGCAGAGCTTGGGGCTAGGTTTACCCAGTTAATCTAAACTGTTGTGGCCTGTGAAGAAATGATACGGGATGAATGAAGTTTTAATGCTGAAATCGGAAAGGGAAAAAACCCTCCATTACAGGTTTAGCATTAGTTTCACTCAGCAGGGTATTTAGCCACATCACTTCTCGTCCCCTGCACTTTAATTTCAATGACTGTTGTCCACTGACAAGTTCTGTATGACTCCCCAGCTTGCTGCTGTTTACGTTTCTTGGAATTTATGCAACTCCCTTCTTTAAAATACTTCAGAATGGGGGCACTGTCAGTGTATCCTGGGGGCTCTTATTGATAGATTCACAACACGCCCCCACAGTTGGGCATGTCCGGCGGACCTAGACACTTCCACTTAGCCAGTTCCAGGTCAAAATCGCCATTTCCGGGTCAAGGTGTCTCGCGTGACCAGGACCCCGTGGCTTTGCATGGTTGTGTAAGAGCGCACAATGCAACCATGTGATCTACGCGCATATGTGGAGTAGCCACATGGACCTGTGTACGCCTGCGCCATATTCCTGGTTTTCTTCTCTATGCATGTGTCTCTTCTGCAGGCCTGAGCACACTTATCTTAATAAAACTCTTGTTAGTGGATTCTGTCGTGTTTCGTGACATTTCCTTGCAGGGTAACAGCGCCACCAAATAACTAACACTTATTCCTCTCAGTTTTTTTCTTGGCAAGTTCTCATGGGATGGTGCTTATGTGAGTCTAGCCTGAGACTCCTGAGGATGAGCGGACATTCCATATGCTACTCAGATCTCTTTGGAGGTCTGTGTTGAAAGTGATTGTTCTAGATTTGTGTTCATTTCTATCAGGTGCCTACATATCCGCCTAATTTGAGTACCATTTAATTTTTTTCCCCCTTGACACTGGGTTTCCTCTGTGTAGCTTTGCGCCTTTCCTGGATCTTGCTCTGTAGACCAGGCTGGCCTCGAACTCACAAAGATCCGCCTACCTCTGCCTCCTGAGTGCTGGGATTAAAGGCCCGCGCCACCACCGCCCGGCTCCATTTAATACTTTTATTTCTAAGAATTTTAGTTTTGTGGGGGTTTGGAGCACCACAGAGCATGTGGAGGCAAAGGAATGGCTTCTCTCTTTCAACAATCGGGCTCCAAAGTTAGCTTTTTGTTGTTGTTTTGTTTTGTTCCAGACAGGGTTTCTTTGTGTAGCTTTGCACCTTTCCTGGAACCCACTCTGTAGCCCAGGCTGGCCTCAAACTCACAGAGATCCACTTGGCTCTGCCACCCGGGTTCCAAAGTTAGAACAACGGTTGTGAGTCTTGGCTGCAGGCACCTTTGCCTGCTGAGTCCTGGTACTATCTTAAAAACCATGGCTTGAGGTTTTTGTGAATTTTTGTTCTTTCCATACTGCCTTTGTTAATATTCTGACTGCCCCCTTGAAATCCTACCCCTTGGGGCCACCCTGCATCCCAGACTTAAAAGCCTCTCTTGAAGGAAAAACTCCGTCCCTTCCTCTCTCTCTCTTTCTCTTCCACTTTTCCTCCCACAATGTTGTACCCTTGACCTCTCTCTTCTCTCTTTCTGTCTCTTTCTTTCCTATCTTGCTCTTCACCTCTCTGTTATAATAAACTCTCCAAGTGGATGCAGCATCTGGGTTGTGAATTACTGCCATACCCGCATGGCGTGCATCTGCCCGGCATGTTTTTCCTGCTCTTGAGGGACACCCTTGGGTCCCCGAGCACTAATTCATAACAGCCTTAGTTATCTTGACATCACAATGACAGACACCTGGCAAAAGTAACTTAATATATTCAGCTTTTATTTTTATTTTTGTTTTTTTGAGACAGGGTTTCTCTGTGTAAACACCCTAGCTGTCCTGGAACTCCCTTTTTAGACCAGGCTGGCCTCAAACTTAGAGAGCTGCCTGCCTCTGCCTCCTGAGCGCTGGGACTACAGGCGTGATCCATTAGTACCTAGCTAATTAGAATATATTCTGGTTCATGATTCAGGGGGTGGTCTCGTGGAAAAGGCCCAGTGTGACAGCGTGAGGTCACATGCTCCTTTCAGTGGATAATAAAGTAGAGAGCTTGGGGCAGAGTAAGAGAGCCTGCCCACACAGGACCCATAGTGTCAGCCCTGCCCGCTGCCTTGAGCTAGGTTGATTCCTCCTTTTAAGAGTCCCACAGCCTTCCAAAACAGCGCCACCAGCTGGGGGATGAGTGTTCCAACATATGAGCCTGTGGGGTCATTTCATCCTCAAGTGATGGCCATCATCAGCCGGCAGTATTTAGGCTGAAATTCAACTGTGGAGTAACTTTTGATACAGCATGTCCTGAGAGTATACATCAGTTCAAGATAGGAGCTTTTCCTCAGGGCCCTCACTGGAGAAAGGGTCTCAGCCACTAAGCATACACAGACAGGTCTAAATGTAACTTCCAATGCTAGACTGACCCTGGACTTGGCCTCTTTTCTTCGGAGACCATGAAGGTATGGAAGTGCAAGCTGTTTTTAAATTCCTATCTACTTATTATGGGAATTCCTGACTTTCTTCCGAGCTCTTTTGGAATATTTCTTCTTTGAATATGATACTTGGATGGTTCCCAGCAGGAGTACACATCTCATACCATAAGATTATAATGCAGATAGATTTATAAAGTTAACAACTCTTTCTGAAATGATTTGAAGCAAAACGTATAGAAAAAAAATCACTATGATTCAGACTTTATTGCTTATCAGTCAGGTCATTCCATACAATCTTGAGTAAATAGACTCTGAGAAAATATACTGGGAGCGGAGCATTATGGGATGATGGCAGCATTGATGGAAGTGTTCATATAAGGTAACGGGAGCACCCCTGCCACCATCTGCCCCAGAGCTTTGTACAATTCATAGAAAAAGAGTAAAAATAGTTCATTGGCATTTAACTAGCATATTCTTTGCAATCTAAGAACCACAATAACTTGGACAAGTGTAATAATCTTTAAAACAGAACAAAACACTTTTTTTTCCATTACAAGATGTTTCTTTAAAAAAAAAATCAAACAAATCAAGATGACAATAAAAACTGCACAAAAAGAACCTTGAAAAGAAAAGATGTCACAATCTGGGTGTTTTCAATTTCAATATTACTCCAAGGGACAAAATGGGAGTGAGCTTTTTCAAACGCGAGCCAACTCTTTCTCTGTAAGCACACTTACTTTACAGCTCATACAATTTAACCGAAGCCAAGGGTAACTTTGGAAAATCCATAGATACCTACCTCTTAATCTGCTCTTATGCTAAGGTAACTTCTTTAAAAGCTAATTGTTGGTCTACACTACACGGTACAACTTGGCATTCTAACAACGCTGACACACACACAGTCACCATAACTCACATACACACAGCAGTAAGTTTCCAGGTAAAACTATAGCAAGTCTCCTCTCCTAATTATTTTAAAAACCAAGCATGTATAACAACAGTTTAGCATGTGAAAGATTTGTATGTCTATTATTAAAAAGATACAGAGGTTGGGAGACACATTCGGTATTTGAAAAGACACTATAAAAACAAACAAAAGACCCACCAAAAAGCAAACCCCCCACAAAGTCAAGCACCACCCTCAGGATTTGAAATGTGTTGAATGCTGAATCCAGCAAAAGACTTTAGTTACCAACAAAACATCACAATAGCAGATAATAGGAATTTATTAAAACCACTGTCTCCAACAATACAAAAATCAAATATTAAGGCATCTTATTTATACTCATCCTGGCATATGCAGCAAAGAGAAATATTTTAAATAAGAGCTAGCACTTATTCAAATGCTTTCCGAAGTATTTGGCAAATTTGTTGTTTTTGTTTTGTTTGGTGTATGGTGTGTGTGTGTGTGTGTGTGTGTGTGCAGATGGGTGCACGCACGTGTGCTTTCCTGTTGAGGCCAGAGATCTGTTATGTGTCTTCCTCTATTGCTCTCTACCGTATTTATTTGAGATAGCATCTCTCACTGAACCAGCTCAGCGATGCAGCCAAACTGGCTGGCCAGCAAACACCAGAGATCCTCCTGTCTCCGCCTCCCCAGCTCTGGGTTTCAGGTGTAGGCCTGGCTCTGTATGTGGGTACTGGGGACCTGAACTCATGGTCCTCAGGCCTGCACAGCAAGCCCTTTACTACTAAGCTCTTTCCCAGCCCCTCAATTCTCTTCTGACAGTCTTTTAGTATTTATAGAATCGAAAGCCGTCATGATCAAACACCTTCACTCAAACCACGAGAAAAGTGTAACTAACAGGAGAAGTAATTCAGTGCTGACAAATGATGAGGAACTTCAAAGAGAACCGTTGAAAGCTCAACACTGGCACTCAGATTGCTGACGCAGCCTCCTCTTCATCACCTAAGCAGGAGGGGATGGGGACTTGAGGGGAGACGCCTATTGCTATGGGTCATGCTGTGGAATACCAGAGACTCCGTACTGGGCTCTACTGAACGGACAGTTTGCAAGTGGCTTTGCTGGCCTTTAAAAACAATCGCATCGCTTGGATCAGATGGCTAGGTCAGCACGGACTCACTCCTCAGAGCCATCCATTGCCAATGATGCTCAACAGCTTCAGAAAGTACACTAAATGGTTCCACTTCCACCTTTTATTAAGGCAAGATTGTGAAAATAATTTACTACAACCAAATCGCTTCATGGACTTTCCACTTACATTTTTTAAGACACATACAAAAGAACCATGTCTTATAAAAAGCCACTCAGTACCAGAAAAAGTAAGGAGACATGTTGATCCAGGCTGCTTTTCAAAGGATGATGCTCTTGCTTCGTCTGCAGGTAGGTGCTAGTCATCATCTTTAGAACCAGTTTTACTTAACTGTTAAAAAAAAATAAAATAAAAACAAAACAAAACAAGTATTAAGTGGAAGCGATGACAGTATCTGAGTCATTATTTCTCTGAGAATCAATCAATCAATCAACAATAGGAAATAAAGTCCAAGTCATGGGACTTTAAACTGTAACTGTTTCTACACCTAGCTACTTTCTACTTGTAGGCCGTATTACTTTCCACAGGTTTAAAAACAACCAAAAGCCCATTCAACAGAACAAGGTTAGGTGGGGACATCCCTTGCCGCTTTCTAAGACTAAATCAGACGCGAGCATTCATAGAGAAGGCATGGTTTGTTAAGTGAATGATATTCTTCTATTTTTGTGTTGTATCATCAGTAGTACTTTTTTCACCCAGGCTTAGTTTTTACCAATAATAATCGATGAATCATGCTATCATCATAATGTCTAGTCTAATGTCTAGCTTTCTCTGTAAGTAGTGCTGTTCTAAGGGTTTGGATGAACACATATTAACTCAATATGAACTTTATTTTCTATCACATTTTATTAGAAGTGTGGGAACTGAGATCCGGGGGTTAAGTAATTTGTCCCAAAGCACCAAGCTGGCAGTTTGACTCAGTTGTCCTCAGCTGAGGTCTTAACTCCTCACATACCATTTTATGCATGTGTCAATATAACAAAGCATGACATTGATAGACAATAAACTGGTATTTTTCGAACTCGGGGCCGCATGCTGGCACAGCAGGCACTTTCCTGACTGAACCATCTCCAGTCCCTCAATAACTACGTTTTCTAAAGAAAGACTTAGCATGGTGCTCGTTTCCATTTCTGCAGATCTCTTTATGATCTAGCTCAAACAAGATGATTGGAGTTGCACAGATCTCTTCTACAATGGAGCTGACTCTGGGGACATCCCAGCAGAGGGAGGAGAGCTAAGCTGACCGCTAAGAGCATCTAACCCTGAGGAAGCAGACAACGTGAAGCCTTCAAGAATACTTACGTGCTGAATCCAAAAGCGTAAACAGACATCCGGGAAATTCCCAAGGAGGCAGGAAGGAAAATGGAAGATATACATGTCATTAGTGGGTGGCAAATAATGTAACAACTTTGAAGACTTGAATGTAAGTATGCTATACCTTCACGACATCAACCCAGTTCCAGCCTCGAGGAAGCTCTCCTTTGTGATCTGGAGGACAAAATCAGTATCTTTAGTAAGACCAGCCGGCTAGTTGTAAACGAACCGCTATCCTAGCAAACAGTATTTTTTATACTACTGCATACAACAAATAGATGTGCGTCACATACTACTAAGTTGGAAAAAAGTTTCTCATTATCTTGGTGGCCGTAAAGTACCCTCCTGGAGATACCTGCAGAGTATTGCACACAACCCGACTTCTACATTTACCCCACATCCACTCAAGACAAAACCAGTTACCAAGGAGAAATGAGGGGTATGATTGACATACTCATGCAGGTGTGGAGTCCCACTTCCTGCAAGGCCAATGCTTATCTGGGTAGGAAACGGTGCTAGTTCACTGTGTCAGGATTCACACCGGGGCGCTCGGCTCCAAATAGGCGAGACGGCACTGACCAATGTTTGGCTTTAGGACTAAGAGGAGTGCAAGTTAACTTATGTACAACTTGGCCATGCTCTGATGAAACATATTTTTCAAAAGGAGCTTCATGATATTGCTGTCGTCCTCAACCTGTAGGTCATGACTCCCACCCCCCACCCCTGGGAACGACGGACAACACATCAGATATCCTGCACCTTAGATATTTATACTATGACTCATAACAGCAACACAATTACAGCTATGAAGTAGCAACAAAATAATTTTATGGTTGAAGGACACCACGACATGAAGAACTGTATTACAAGGTCGAAGAGTGCCAGGCCCAGCACTTGGGAGGCAGAGCCAGGTGGATCTCTGTGAGTTTGAGGCCAGCCTGGTCTACAGAGCGAGATCCAGGACAGGCTCCAGAACAACACAGAGAAACCCTGTCTCGAAAAACAAACAAACAGCCGGGTGGTGGTGGTGCAGGCCTTTAATCCCAGCACTCGGGAGGCAGAGGCAGGCGGATCTCTGTAAGTTCGAGGCCAGCCTGGTCTACAGAGCGAGATCCAGGAAAGGCGCAAAGCTACACAGAGAAACCCTGTCTCAAAAAAAAAACCTAAAAAAAAAAAAAAAGAAAAGAAAAACAAACAAACAAACAAAAAAAGGTCACACTATTAGGAAGGTTGAGAACCAGTGCTCTACTGAGAATGCTTGGGACAAAGCTCATAAGGACTCAGATAAAAATGCATAGTTTACAAAATGCTTTCATCCGTTAATATTCAAATTTAAAAAACAATTGAACAAATAAACACTTTACTTAAAAAAATTCTTCAATATTAGGGACAAGATGGCTCAGCAGGTAAAGATTCATGCTGCCAAACCTGACCACCTGCCACAGATGCTACAACATTCCAAAAAGACAGGAGCCAAGATTCTAGACAACAGACTGCAATGGCTATAATTTTTACTTCAGCTATTTACGCTTTACTGCCGCCCGACATGGGGTGAATAATGCAGAGACTTTTATACCACAAACAGTTACAATTTTCAAATGTTGTTTATGAGGAGCAACACAGTGTTGGTTTCTTTTTATTCTACCATGGACAGACATTAAACAAAAATAAACCTATTATCCCTTCCTATAAGAAAGGGCAGGGTCTAGAGCCATGGCTCGGCAGTTAAGAGAGCAGTTGCTACTCTCCAGGGTGAGAGGCAGCTTCCCAGAACCCGAATCAGGCAGCTGCCTGCAATTCCAGTCTAGGGGACCCAACAACTTTTTTGGGCCTCCTGAGAATGCGCGCTCGCACACACCCCTTTATGTAAATGTGTGTGTACATACAACAATGTTCTTGTTTTTCCTAATTGGGAAAATTCAGACTGATGCCCAAAACATTACTGAACTGAAGTTTATAATCCTTTTCTTTTCTTTTTTTTTTTTTTTTTTTTGGTTTTTCGAGACAGGGTTTCTCTGTGTAGCTTTGCGTCTTTCCTGGAACTCACTTGGTAGCCCAGGCTGGCCTCGAACTCACAGAGATCCACCTGCCTCTGCCTCCCGAGTGCTGGGATTAAAGGCGTGTGCCACCACCGCCCGGCTCCTTTTCTTTCTTTTTTTTTTTTTTTTTAAGACAGGGTTTCTCTGTGTAGCTTTGCGCCTTTCCTGGATCTCACTTTATAGACCAGGCTGGCCTCGAACTCACAGAGATCCCTCTGGCTCTGCTTCCCGAGTGCTGGGATTAAAGGCGTGCGCCGCCACTGCCTGGCTTATAATCCTTTTCTAAGGAGTCTATTATCAGACACATGGGAATTCTTTTCTGAAATCTTATGGTATAGTTAAGTTAACCACGGGCAAAAAATCCTAAATCACTGTGCTCAAATGGGGATTGACGCACCAGATTGCAAGTGAAAACTCTATTTCACACAGCTTTTCCAAGTACGCACCTGTCACACAGGTAAATAAAACCCCACGTGACGTTACAGCGTTCAGGCAGGACACGTGTTTTGCACCCCCCCTTTTTTTTTTGGTTTTTCGAGACAGGGTTTCTCTGTGTAGTTTTGGTGCCTATCCTGGATCTACTCTGTAGACCAGGCTGGCCTCGAACTCACAGAGATCTGCCTGGTTCTGCCTCCAGAGTGCCGGGATTAAAGATGTGCACCACCACCGTCCAGCTGCCCATTTTTTTAATGTTCCTCAGTGGGAATGTTTATAATTACTTTGTGACTCATTATTTTTTTTCCAGATGATGATCTCATGATGAAGTAGCAATAAATATGGTATAATTTTTTACCAACAGGTCTGATTCAAACGTCCCACGAATAGACTGAAGAATTAATCCTGTAAGCCTAAGCATAACGAGCACCCCATGACAGTAAAATGAACCCACTTTCTGTGTAAGGAAAGACAAAGAACAAGGATGCAAACCTGTTTTATCTGCCAGCTTGCGTTTCTGAGCTTTGGAAAGTTGCTCTTTCTTGTCTTTTTTCTTATTTGATGGGGCTGTGCTGGGAGTTTCAACCGCGATGATATTGGCTATGGGTGTCTACAAGAGCAGAAACAGATCTTAGACTCACCTTAAAACCTACTGGATTAGAACAAACCCAGCTACATCTGGAAGGGCGTGGTGGGTCTCTCAATTTAAAAAAACGGAAGGAGCTACTGCCACCATTCACTATTCATTCAGTCAGGTGTCCTCATGCATCACCGGCCTTGCCTCGCACAGGCTCGTTTTCAAGGACAAAACAATGGGGTGGCAGTTGAACTGGGACCCCAAGAAGGGATTCTGACAGAACATAAGTTCATTTTCTCCATTAAACAGAGGGAATCTAAGGTTCGTTGTTCTCACTTAACTCAAACGTAATCCTCTATTTAAATCTAACGCAAAGTCTTTTTCAAAAAAACCAACTGGCAAAAATTAATTACCACGCCCAGACCAAAGCCATCTGGCAGAACCAACCGCACACTCACTGGCGCAGAGTTCCCGGGATGGTGGTTCTCCATGAACTGCTCCTTATTGTCCTTGGCGTACTCGAACAATGTGTAGGTCATGGCGGTGCCGAGATTCACCTCTACGGCTTCCTGTAGTTTGGCTAAGATACTCTGCTTTACAGCTGAGGAGCTACAAGGCAGAGAAACCCCACTGTCAAGAGCAGGTCCCACAGAAGGAAACGAGACAGCAGTGAAAACAAGGGTACTTACATGGTGTTGTTAAAAAACGCGTTCATGGATATGACCGGCGGCGTCTGGGGATACGTCTCTGTCCAGGAAATCTCTATTAGGAAGGCTTTGGGATCGCCATCTTCACCTATCTGAAGAAAAGGGAATCTTAGGCTTGGGGAACGTGATCAAAAGACCCAAAATGATGCTTTCCAACATTCAGGTTCAAACTCTGAAGCAGAATATGCTGAGAAGTTCAGAGGTATTGGAGTAAGACTGACCAAAGATGAGGAGGGTATACACAGCTGTAGTCCCTCCTGCTTCAGGAAGCTTTGTTACTGCGGATGGCCCATTTCTCAATCAGCGGCCAAGGATACACTTGACATTGTTTCTGAGGCGGAAGATAAGACATTAACTACAAGGAACAAGATGACGATGAGGCTGGGCATGCTAGTCCTGGGAGGCAGAGAGAGGCAGCTGAATCTCTGAGCCTGAGGCCAGCCTGGGCTACAGTGCTCCACAAACCATGAAACAAAACAAAAGACGGCAATGGACGAAAATAGTTATCCACAAACTTGTAACAGCTGGTCTTTAAGATTTCCAACCGCTAAAGTGCAACAGGCACAGAGGACAGGGAGACGGATACACGCTGTTCAAGGGCCACAGACCAGAAAACACAGTGGAACCCGGAGAGAAGCAGAGGACCAGGGAGAGGACGCCTCGGGCCGCAGAGCAACTCCTGAGAAGAGTGCCTTCTGTTTGTCAACTTTTGATTGAAAACACTGTTAATCTTAAGGAGAAGCTAAACTGGCATGATAGATAAATGCTCACCGGCATATATTTACTAAACACCCCGTCTCATTTCCACATCTTCCCCTCTAGCACAGAAATCAGCACCTACTCCTTTAACATGCATGAGTTCCCTGACTTTGGTTTTTGCTGACCCATTAGGAAGTAACGAAATGTCTTTAGTTATTTATGGGTGAAAAAAAAAAAACCCTTAGGATATCTTTTATAGCCACAAGACAATCATCCTACCCTAAGAATTCAACACTGACATTAAAAAAAACCCTCAACTAATATATAATTATATCTTCCAACTATACCTAAGGTGTCCTTTAATAAACACTCCCACCCCAGAAATCTGAAATTCACCAAAGTTTTACTATGTTTGGTTGTCACACCTCCCTAGTCTTCCTTAATAGAACCTTCTTCCTGGCTTTCCAAAAGTCTGTTATGACGTTAAGAGTCTCGGCCGGTTTTTCTGACTAACATCCCCAAATATAGATGACTACTTCCCCTGTTCAGATTCAGATGAACCATTACGTGAGGAGAGGTGGTGTGGTAGCTCTCGGGCATCCTATCAGGATTCAGCACTGGGGATAATTTCTTCAGTGTAGAGGTAATAAAGAAAATCTGTGCAGCAATAACACAAAACTACGTCACTACTCTGTTTCTTAGCAACCTTTGCCTAGAGATTTTAACGTCTGTTAATAATGCTCGCCTGAATCAAGCTTTTCACTTCAGGGGCCTGCCAGACGGCTTAGGGGGGGAAAGGCACTTGCTGTCAAGCCTGGTGACTGGAGTTTGATCCCTGAACCCACAGAGTGGAAGGGGGAAAACCAACTCACAAGTGTTGTGGCATACATGTGCCCCTCCCCAAACACACACACACACACACACACACACACACACACACACACACACACACACACAAACACACACACGAGAAATAAATGTAACATAATTAGAAAAAATTTCACCTCAATTATTATTCGCTTCACTTTTCTACTCTGCCCACATCCTCGCCCCCGGACCCTCAGCTACATTCTGTGCCAATGTACCTGAAGCACAGAAACAGCATCCAGTAAACTTAGGACCTTTCGATACGTCAGTAGGAGTCGATCACAGGCAGGAAGGATGCACTGAAAAGTGACAGAAGGTAGGAGCTTCATGTAATCCCCCAGTCCTAACTCAAGGCGCACTGAGAAACGAATTGCCAATGTCTCACTGTGTTAAAGACAGAGGCAAGACCACTCCCGTTTTCAAAGACACCTAATGACTTACAAAAGTGCAGTATGGACAATTTTTCAAAGTAAAAGGAGGCAGCTGGGTGGTGGCACACGCCTTTAATTCCAGCTCTCAGAGGCAGAGGCTGATGGATGGATCTCCGAGTTGGAGGCCAGCCTGGGCTACAGTTCTATGAGAGCCAGGGCAACACAGAGAAGGTCTCTCTTGAAAAACAAACAGAAAGTAGAAGGAGGCGGGAGTGATAATGAAGTTAATTCTGCTCCAAACTGAGAGGGCCAACTGTGTCCCAGGAGGTTGATTGGCACCTCAGAGAAGCCAGGTAGATGAGAGAGGAGAGGTGAAGAGAAGCCTTACAATGTATCCAAAGACAATGCTTAAGGGAGAAGAGATACATTTGGCACTCCCTGGTGCCTAAGAAAGTTTGACAAAGTTTTCCAGAGGGAGTTCGGAGAGCCGGCTCAGGCACTGTGAGTGCTCGCCACCACTGCAGAGGACTGGGGTTGGCTTCCCCAAACTCCCACAGCAGCTTACAACTTTGGGCCTCTAAGAGTAACACACACACACACACACACACACACACACACACACTATATCCAAGCAAAACACTCATATACACAAAACAAAAATAAATCATTTTTTAATATTTTATGTTTATTATTTTTAATTGTGTGTGTGTGTGTGTGTGTGTGTGTGTGAATATGTGTACATGAGTGCAGCTGTCCTCAGAGGCCAGAGATATCAGACACTCTGAAACTGAAGTTACAGGCTACTGTGAACCACCTGACGTGAGAGCTGGGATCCAAACGCAAGTCCTCCTAAAGAGTAGCAAGTGCTCTTAACCACTGAGCCATCTCTCCAACAAAAATATATCATTTTTTAAGTGGACCATGGTTATGGAGCTAAGAATAGAGCCATCATTTACGGGCAAGAGAAGCCCAGGAAGAAACCTCTTTAAACAGGCTATTGCAGGACCACTTAAATGTTTCAGAGTGCTAAGTAGCAGTCCGTTGACCTCGCGGTTCAGTGTGTGTGTGTGTGGGAGGCTAAAGAAAGATGTGGAAGTGGGGAAGTCATCTAGGAGCCTACCAAACTGTTCTATTGGAGAACAGAGGGTCCGACGGGGCAGATCCCCGGCTCTCCTCCGTTGACAGTTGACACACTCTCTCCAGTTTCGTGTTTCAGTCTACCGTAGAGTGCACACATAGATCCAGGACCATTCTGCATACTGTGCTCAATGAATAACTGTGTGGTTACTGGAGACAGTTAGGAAAACACATGAGAATTCTCAGTGTCTCTGCTAAAGGAAGGTGGCAGCAGCTGGGAAAATCTGGGGGCAGGGGCAGCTGGATTTAACTAGAAGGGCCCAGGTCTTAACTCCATCATGAACTCTGGTCATTAAGAGATCTCTAGTTGTTGGGATGGCTGATATCGCCAACCTGATGGGATTTAGAGTCACCACAGAAATAAACCTCTGGGCATGTCTGTGAGGGATTTTCTGGCTTGGGTTAACTGAGGTGGGAAAGCCTACCCTGATGTGGACACCATTCCAGGGGCTGGAGTCAGGAGAGAGGGAAGCGGGCAGAAGCAATGTTCTCTTTGCTTCCTGAGCAGTGGCCTCACACGGGATCCTTTGGCCGAGACTTCCACTAGTGGACTACACATTCAAACCATGAGCCAAAAGAAACTCTTCTTTCCTTAAGTTTGTGAATCTTTAAAAAAATCCTTATTTATTTGTTATCACTATGAACGTGTGATTTGTGTGGGGCACACGTGTACCACAGGAATGGAGGACAGCTTCGTGGACTCGGTTCCACACTTCCACCTTTGTGGGGGTTCTGGGGACCCAGCTCAGGCCGAGGAGCTTGTGCAGTGAGTGTTCTCATCTCTCTGGCCTGGCCCACAAGTTGCGTTTGTCAGGCATTTCGTTATGGCAACAAGTGAAGGAGCAATTATAGTTGTCATACAGATAGAGGCAGCTACTGGGCCGATGAACTGGGAACTGCCAGAGAGCAGTGGTTCCCAACCTGTGGGTCTCGACCCCATTGCGGGTCGAATGACCTTTTCACAGGGGTCGCCTAAGACCACCAGAAAACACAGATATTTACATTCCGATTCCTAACAGTAGCAAAATCACAGTTATGAAGCAGTAATGAAAATAATTTTATGGTAGGGGGTCACGACAACATGAGGAGCTGTATTCAAAGTTCACAGCATTAGGGGGAAAGTTAAGAACCATCGCTTAGAGAATTTATTCCCTAGCTCCACTTGTGAGTCTGAGATAAAAGAATCAAGAACTCAAGGCTAGACCAGGCTACATGGCGACACTCTGTCTTAAGAAAACAAAAACTCATTTCCTGTTGTAGTCTATCTACAACAAGCAAATTTGAGGATTAGATACCAACATCAGCTGTGGCAAAGGTCTAGGAAATCAGCACCTAGGGAAGCCATCTTTAAGAAGGTAGCACCATGTAATCCTTAAGATCTCTTTTATCTCTAACGTTTTATAATCAAGTCAAATTGTTTTTGTTAAAAAGGTTCTGAATTAGGCTGCAGAGGTGGCTCAGTGGTTAAGAGCACTGGTTGCCCTTCCAGAGGACCCAGGATCATTTCCCAGCACCCACATGGCAGGCAGCTCACAATCGTCTATGACTTTAGTTCAGGGGGATCCAATGCCATCTTCTGGGCTCTGTGAGCACCTGGCATGTACGTGGTGCACAGACATACTTGCCGTCAAAACACCCAGACACACAATAAAATAATATATAGTTTTAAAACATTTCTGAATTAAGTTTTCAATTGTTAGCAATAACAATGTCATAGTGGTAAGCTCTCATCTAACTGTGTTAGGAGGCTGGAGAGATGGCCCAGTTGTTAAAAGCACTTGCTGCTCCTCTAGAGGACCCCAGTTTCGTTTCCACCATTGGTGACTCACAACCATCTGTAACTCCAGCTGTAGGGGATCTGATGCCATCTTCTGGCCTCTATGGGCCCCCAGATACACACACACAAATTAAAAAAATCATTTTTAGAAAAACGAAAGTTTCAGGAAATACAGGAACATAATAGAGTTAATCCACTAAGTTAGAAGCTGGACTCAGATTCTGCAGTCTCCACCTCCTCTTCCCTAGCACAGAGATACACGCACTGTACATGTTGTGTCTTACCCTATACTGAAATGAAACCGGACTTAATTCCCGGAAGCTTTCGTCTCCTTCATAAATAGAACGTAAAGCTTCTAGTTCCATCTGAAAAAATAAAAATAAAAAGCGATGTTTAGTGGCAGATATGGATTAGAAAGAGAGTCTTTAGCATCTCATTCAAAACCATTCAATTTTGTAAAACATGGCTTAACTTATTGCCCCTAGACGTTATGACATGTGTATATACCAACACCATTATAGTGTATGATAGTACAATTATACTAACAGCACGTACTTTAAGACAATCTGTTGGGCACTGCTAAGGGTTTTTACATTGTATCAGGTCACTTAGTTCTCACATCCACCCACTAGCAAAACACCCAGACACAATAAAATAATATATATATTAAAAATAATATATACATATATTTTAGAAGTTTCTGAATTAGGTTTTCACATGTTCGCAATAACAATGTCATAGTGATAAGTTCTCATCTAAATGTGTTAGGAGGCTGGAGGGATGGCCCAGTTGTTAAAAGCACTTGCTGCTCCTCCAAAGGAACCCAGTTTGGTTTCATTACCATATTCCCTTCTCCATACTGTGAGGCAGATGTAGATTAAAGCAATTTGAGAATATTTTGTGTCTTTAATCACTCTACTGAACAACTAACCTGGTGTATAGAAAATGCACTCAACTTGGAAATGAGAAATAAGAGGCACAACCATTTCCCATTTTAAAAAGAACATCAGTTGCTGGGTGGTGGTGGTGCCTGCCTGTAATCCCAGCACTCCCGGAAGGCAGAGGCAGGCCGATCTCTGAGTTCAAGGACAGCCTGGTCTACTGAGTGGCTTCCAGGACAGTCAGGGCTATACAGGGAAACCCTATCCAAAAACAAAACAAAACAAAAAAACCCCCACAAAACCCAAAACAACAATAACAATCAGTTACATTGTTACTCATTTTCATAGTGAAATGAAAATTAAGTAGTAATGTAAAGGCCCCCAAGAAAGACTATCAGTAAGGAAGTCGACAGGATCTACTCAAGATGATTAAAGGACCAGAAGAGAAGATGCTCAGCAGTAATCCTTGCCGAGGATTTGTTCTTGGAATACTGTGGTCCCACAAATGAAAAATCTCAATCACTGTGAGTGACAGCCGAATCTTGGAGGAACAAAGACACGGAGAAACAAAACCTATTTTAGTTTTCAAAAAGACTCATGTTATAATTTTTTCCCCCTTTTTGGTTTCTCTGTGTACCCCTGACTGTCTTAGAACTCGCTCTGTAGACCAGGCTGGCCTCAAACTCACAGAGATCCGCCTGCCTCTGTCTCTCGAGTGCTGGGATTAAATGAGTGCACCACCACTGGCCGGCTCGTGTCAATAATTCTACAGATAATAGATGGTGATACTGATTTGTTCTCCATGTACAAATTTTAGAACAGATTATAAAGAAACGGCATGCACTTGTAAGAGTATAGAATCCTTAGGATCCAGCAAGCCTTACAAGATAGAACTAAATAATCCTTTTCAGCATAACTCTGTACACCACCAGAATCAGTCTACTAAGGTTTTAGCAAGGCTCTCTTTACGGAATGGACCAGAACAAAATACAAAACAATAAAGAAATGTCTAGCCGAGTGGCAGTGGCGTATGCCTTTAATCCCAGCACTCGGGAGGCAGAGGCAGGCAGATCTCTGTGAGTTCAAGGCCAGCCTGGGCTACAGAGCGAGATCCAGGACAGGCACCAAAACTACACAGAGAAACTCTGTCTTGAAAAACCAAAAAGGAAAGTCTAGAAATCCAAACTGAATTCAAGAACGTATTCTCACTCCTACCTTAATCCCTTTCCATATCTTAATTAATGATTTGGGCAGGAACAAAGACAGGCTTGTTAAGAATAAGACCCCCCCCAACATGTCCTTTAAAACCAAGCTAATGATAATATTTGACAGCGTAAGCGTCTACTAACTAAATAAGTAGACGATGAGAGATGAACTGCTCTGCATGAAGCACTCTGGGGGCATTGATTGACAGTAAACCAGAAGACAGTGAGAAGTCACAATTTCAGCACAAGAAAATGGAGGCTCGGGCTGGAGAGATGGCTCAGCGGTTAAGAGAACTGATTGCTCTTCCAGAGGACCCAGGGTCAATCCCCAGCACCCACAAGGCAGCGCACAACTGTCTGTAACTCCAAGAGCTGACACCCTCACACAGGCAAAATACCAATGTACATAAAATAAGAATAGATAAGTTATTTAAAAAGAAGAAGAAGCCGGGCGGTGGTGGCGCATGCCTTTAATCCCAGCACTCGGGAGGCAGAGCCAGGCGGATTTCTGTGAGTTCGAGGCCAGCCTGGGCTACCAAGTGAGTTCCAGGAAAAGGTGCAAAGCTACACAGAGAAACCCTGTCTCGAAAAACCAAAAAAAAAAAAAAAAAAAAAAAAAAACTAAAAAAAAAAAAAAAAAAAAAAAAGAAGAAAATGGAGGGTCTGTTCACACACATTCAATTTCAAGACAGGGTTTCTCTGTGTAGCACTGGCTGTCCTCAAACTCTCTCTGTAGACCAGGCTGGCCTTGAACTCACAGAGATCTGTCTGCCTCTGCCTCCCAAGTGCTGGGATGAAAGGCGTGTGCAGCCACTGTCTGGCTTTGCATCTTCAAAACTGGGCAGGAAACTATCTTCAAAGATCCGGACACCCATCATGAGGAAGAACAGAATTTTACTGTTAAAATGGAGATTCCTGGACTCTACCACAGGAATTTAACTCATTAGGTCTGAGGTGGCATCATCTCCCTGTGGTGATGGTACTTCTTTAGTCAAGTAGGAGAAGTGTTACATTGTGCTTTGCTGGGAGAAAGAACTATTTCCAAATTGATACATAATGGTTGTATTTACTGGGCTGGAGGGATGGCTCAGCGGTTAAGAGCATTGGCTGCTTTTCCAAGAAAATTGTTCAATTCTCAGCACGGACATAGTGGTTTATGCTCTCTGTGGGCACCAGACATGCAAATGGTCCACATACATACATGTAGGCAAAAAACTCATATACATAACATAAAACTAATTTTTTTTTGGTTTCTCGAGACAGGGTTTCTCTGTGTAGCTTTGCGCCTTTCCTGGATCTCACTCTGTAGCCCAGGCTAGCTTCGAACTCACAAAGATCCACCTGCCTCTGTCTCCCTAGTGCTGGGATTAAAGGCCTGCGCCGCCGCCGCCGCCGCCGCCGCCGCCGCCGCCGCCACCACCACCACCACCACCACCCAGCTAACATAAAACTATTTTAAAAATTGTATTTATGGGGTATGATACAGCCCTCTGATAAGAGGATCTATTACGCAATGATCAAATTAAGGTAATTAGCATATCTATCACCTAAAATCTTCAGTTATTTATTTGTCAAGGAACCATTCAAAACTCTTCTATTGTGAATGCAGAGAGGATACTTTTAAACTAGTCGTTTCTACTGTGTAACAAGACATCAGACCTTGCTCTTCTCTATTAAGTTTGTATCCACTTACTAGTCATTTCTCTTTCCCTTTCTCTCTATTCTCTCCCCTGGATTCATTCACTGAACTGGTAAGAATATTTTAGCAGGGTATTCAGATACCAATTCACTTGTTGCATTTGGGGGTCCTTTACAGAGAACTTGTAACCTAGAGCTTTTTTTTTTTTTTTTTTTTTAAAGACAGGGTTTCTCTGTGTAGCTTTGGAGCCTTTCCTGGAACTCACTTTGTAGCCCAGGCTGGCCTTGAACTCACAGAGATCCGCCAGCCTCTGCCTCCCGAGTGCTGGGATTAAAGGCGTGCACCACCACCGCCCAGCGAGCTTTTATTAACATCCACACTGTCAAAATGCTAACTTTTAAGCAACATATTAAAAAACAAATAGTGAATTACTACTTATCTGCTACTACACAAGGACATTTGTCTTCTAATCCTTATTCCATCACATTGATTCTGGGGCACTCTACTACTGTAGACATTCTTCCTCATCTGGACACATTAGATTTACAAAGTCCGATGATAAGAAGATTTATAGCACTCATTCCTTCCAATTCTATATCAAAATGGCAGTTTGCAATAAAAAAAAATCAAAGCACAAACTATACAAAATTCTTTTGAATTTTGAGCAAAAAAATGCTCAAAACAGATTTTACATCCACTCAACAGATTGTCAAGCGATTTCACTAAGCATTATGGACAGAAACCGAGACACCAGGGTCATTCATTTTCCGCCACAGAAATTTTACTTCCTCGACCCCTTTACGAGACCACACACAGGTTTTAAAAATTAAAGGGGATCAGATTTTAAGACAGGATAACTCAACACATAAGCTCTAAGCCACATTCGGGTTTTAAGGACAGTCAAGTGCACCAGGGTCGCGGACCAAGGACACTCATCTTAGCAAGAAAATCTGGAGAGACCCCTGGGGTTGCAAAAAAAAAAAAAAAAAAAAAAAAAAAAAAAAAAAAAAATGACAAGTGAGGGGAGCGGGAGGCTGAGTCGCACGTGACCCATTCATGCTTGCTGGCCTCACTGTTGACCGGTGCCATCTGGCAGTGGACCCGCCAACGTGGGACAACCGGCCAGGCTGCGAGGGCTCTCGACGCAAAGGACACGTGCGGAGTCCCGGGTGCCCCGCGTTGGGACCTGTGCCGGGACAGGGGTGTCCAGTCCTGGGTTCTCACCTCCTGGTCCTCGTTGGCACCCATCGCGCAGGGCGCACGGCGTTTGCGACCGCGAAGAACAGGCGGGCAGCGGGCGGGAGGCCGGAGCACCCCGTTTCCGCGCCTCGGTCTGGGGAAACCCTCCTCGCAGCCGTGGGTACGAGCTCGCGCGCTCCCGGCCCTCGGCGGCGCCAAGCCACTGGCAGGCGGCTGCGGGCCGGGAACCCAGGATCGCGTTACGCGGGGACCAGGAACCGGGATTGCATTAAGTGGGGGACACCCAGCCCTCGGACCAGCCGCGGAGGGGCGGTCACGAGGAGGCCCCGCCCCCTCCCTCGATCGCTTCTCCCATTGGCTCCTTGTTTCTCCGCCCCCAACTCTTTCCCCTCTAGGAAATGGAGCACCTCCCCGACAGCGAGTCCCGTTCTGTTCGGGGATTGGTTTCGAGTACTGTCACTCAGGCTCAGAAAGTGCTTCCTGTGCCAGCGGAGGCGGGGAAAAGGAAGTCTCACCTTCTGCCGCCGGCGCTGGGGCTCCGGCTGTCGGAACTCGGTGGCCGCGTTCCGTGACGCCCCTGCCTGGCTCTCCTGGTCCTCTCGGGGCTGGCGGCGACTCGCCGCAGCTGCAGCGGGCCCAGGGCGTGCGGTCTGGGTGAGTTGGGCCCAGAGACCTTCCGGGCCCCAGGCCAACCGGGCTGGCGTGGGGGCCTGCGTTTTCCCGTGGCGTCCACGGGTGCAATCTTGGCATTTCTCTTTCAGCTGCGAAGAAGAACGCATTTATTTCTAGATAGAGAGGCTGTTTCTGATAGAGGAAGATTGAGTCAGCTTCTGGGACTGTGAGGCTATTCTCCTTTCCCTGTTGTAGCTGACAGAGCCGAATGCCGCGACCCCGGGGACGGTGTCTTTTCTCAGGTTGTGTCCCTTCTCTTCCTCTACAGTGTAGATTATGCACCAAGCCATGGTTCTTTGCTTGATCTTTTTGCAGTTGGACGTCTCCGAATCTTTGCTTACTAGCCGATGTCTTGCTCCCTGATCCACCTGTTTATTGACAGCCATCTTTAGTAGCCACTTTGGTTGGGTTAGCTTGTTTCTCTTCTATGCTAGCTGTCACATTACTTCTGTTGCACTAACCAGGTGACCTGGTGCTGAGGACTTACTTTTGTACTGCTGCATGTCTCCTCCCTGTCAATAGCTGGCCAGGTTTCTCCATTTATTTTCCAGGAGATCAGGAAACCGTTCCTTTCCCGTGTGTGTGATTGAAACCTATTCAGTCGGCACCTGTCCTGTGCCATCCCTTTGAAATTCACGGCATAAGCAGGACCATTGCAAGTGCCAAAACTTGTAAAGTAGAATGTGACATGGATTGCTGATGTAGTTTTCGTGATCCTGTTGGAACGGATTGGCTGTAATTGAGAGTTACAGTGTCAGTTGTGGACAGTAGCCACGGTGGCTATAGAGCACTTGAAATGGGCCAGTCTGCACCGAGATGCGCTGTGAGCATAAGATACACCCCCGAGTCTGAAGACAGTATACAGAAAAGTTCTGAAAAGTTCATCGATAACTTATAGTGATGTTTGGAGAATTTTTTTGAGTTAGAGTGTTAACTGAAATTGTGTATCTTTCTCTTCCTGTTTTTCAGGGGAGGAGGGATGTTGAGATCTCCTTAGCTCTGGCTGGCCTGGAACAGCCCTGTAGACTAGGCTACTATGGAATTTGAAGCAGTCTCCCTGCCCCTACCTCCTGAGTGCTGAGTTTACAGGAGTTTGCTTTCTAAGCTTTTACCTTCTAATATAACTGCAGGAACATTTAACATTATTTATGTGACTCGTACTATAATCCTCTCAGGCAGTACTAATTTAAAACTTTTGTGAGTCCTTTCTACTTCCCCTTATGTCCACGCCATATTCAGGGACTACAGCTATTCCTTTTGAGACTCTGGAGTTATTAAGGGAAATGGGTCTTTCGCACTCTTGTCTAGACTGGTATTAAACAAACATGGTAGCCATATTATATTTTGACCATTTCTCAGCTATTTCATTCTTCATCCTAAATTCTCTAGAAGCAGTGTATTTCTTTGTCCTCATAGTACAATCCTTCCCATAAGTCTTTTAAAGCAATTCTGCAAGCTTATGTTGTAAATATACATCATTTCTGGCAAGCTTTCCAAATAATTTTTCAATACCCATTGTTCCTTTAGCACTTAGGCATGTGATAGCACTTTAGTAAAGATAACTTTTCAGTTAGAAATAGTCCATATTTTAGGGATCAAGTGGCATTTTACACTTCAGTTTTCCCAGAGATTACACTGTGTTTTGTGTAATTCGATGATGATAATCACTTCTTTAAGAAGCATATGATATATCCTTTTGGAAATAAGGAATTATTTTAAAAATACAGTGATAACTTAATTTGGAATAATGACATGTTTATATAATTGTCTTCTTTCTTCTGTTTCTTCTTCCTCCTCCTCCTTCTTCTTTTTGTTGTTGTTTTTGTTTTTTTGAGACAGGGTTCCTGTGTAGCCTTGACTGTCCCGGATATATAATCATTTTCTAACATCAGTATATATCAGCATCTGTTATAGACTTAGCTAAAGGACACAACAGAAGCATGTTCTGTAGGTGTTTCCTACATTATTAGTGTTTCTCTTCGAGATCTTCCTTTACCTATTAAATCATCTTATATTATGAAAATTGAGAACACAGCTATTAGATAATGCACACATTATTTGAATTATCTTCTAAACATCGAGGATATTTGCAATTCCAGAGAAATCAGAGGAAGTTGGATTATATATATATATATATATATATATATATATATGTCAATAACTATGTTTTAATTTTATTGATTATGGCTGATACAGGGCACATAGCTTGAATTAAAAACAAAACACTTTTTAGACAGAGGAAGTTGGATTTTATATATATATATATATATATATATATATATATAAGTCAATAACTATGTTTTAATTTTATTGATTATGGTTGATACAGGGCACATAGCTTGAATTAAAAACAAAACACTTTTTAGACAGAGGAAGTTGGATTTTATATATATATATATATATATATATATATATGTGTCTATGTGTCAATAACTATGTTTTAATTTTATCGATTATGGTTGACACAGGGCACACAGCTCGAATTAAAAACAAAACACTTTTTAGACAGAGGAAGTTGGATTTTATATATATATATGTGTGTGTGTGTGTGTGTGTGTGTCAATAACTATGTTTTAATTTTATTGATTATGGTTGATACAGGGCACATAGCTTGAATTAAAAACAAAACACTTTTTAGACAGAGGAAGTTGGATTTTATATATATATATATATATATATATATATATAAGTCAATAACTATGTTTTAATTTTATTGATTATGGTTGATACAGGGCACATAGCTTGAATTAAAAACAAAACACTTTTTAGACAGAGGAAGTTGGATTTTATATATATATATATAATATATATATATATATATGTGTGTGTGTCAATAACTATGTTTTAATTTTATCGATTATGGTTGACACAGGGCACACAGCTCGAATTAAAAACAAAACACTTTTTAGACAGAGGCTTACTATTTTACCCCAGGCTGTGTTGAACGCTTACCCTCCTGCTGCAGCCTCGTGAGGGCTGGGATTGCAGCATGTGCCACCATGCCAGGCTAGACCTGTTTTAATTTCGTCACTTACCTGTTCATCCCAAACTTTATACAGTTTGAAAGATTACTGAAAAAAGAAAATTTGTCTAAAAATTGACTACCACTTTTTTTGTGAAATTTAAGAGAAAAAAATGTAATGCAATTAGTAATTTTCATAAATTCAGTTTAGGAATTAAAGTTTTACTCTCTTCTATTTGCTTGACTGTGTACATGCAGAGCCCTGTGTCTTTTTCTAATGTTTATATGTTAGTATTGATGTTGGTTTTTTTAAATTAATTATGAATATCCTGACATTTGTATTTCAGATTTTTCTGTGACGTCTTAACCATGAGCCCCACACAGTGGGACTTCCCTGTGGAACTATGTTGTCGGCCTATGGCTTTTGTTACACTTACTGGCCTTGATGTAGTTTATAATGCTGTCCATCGAGCAGTCTGGGATGCTTTCTGTGCCAATCGGAGAGCCGATCGGGTACCAATTTCTTTCAAGGTGCTCCCAGGTGACCATGAATATCCAAAATGTAGATCCAAGGTAATGGCGTTAGGATGCGTGTATCCATTCATTCTCTGTCCTTTTCCCACCCCACTCCCAACCCTGTTCCGTGTGTGTGTGTGTGTGTGTGTGTGTGTGTGTGTGTGTGTGTGTGTGTAAACTCCTGAGTTTATCAGGGCAACCAAAGGTTACTGTTGGACCTAAAGAAGAACAGGTGTTTTCATGTACTATGGAATATATGCATATGTGTAATAACATTTATTTTTAACGTCAAGAGGATTGACTAATACTTCCTCTACTGTGAACCTACATTTTTTTCTTTTAAATTTTTTACTTATTTTGTGTGTGTGTGTGTGTGTGTGTGTGTGTGTGTGTGTGTGTGTGTGTGTGTGTGTATGTGTAGGGCCAGTGACAACTTGAGGTCTCAGTTCTCTTCTTCCAACATGTAGGTCCTAAGGATTGAACTCGGGGAGTCCTAGGCTTTGCAGAAAATGTCCTTTCCATCTGCCCCCCTTTTCTTTTCATTAAAATAACCCCCACATCTCCATAATTTTAACAAAGTCTCCTTAAAAGCAAGATCTCATATTACCCATTCATCATCTGCAGTTTCGTTATAGAATCCATGACTTTTGAGTTAGATTCAGTTTCACAAGTTTCTCAACCATTTTGATTTCATCCACAGGAACGGTGCATGGCATCATGGCAGTGTGTCTGTAAATGGATGGAGCTGTAGTAGACTTTTGATGGTTGTATTTTACAGGAACAGAGACAGGAGTGGGGAATAGAGGTAGACTGGAAAGGACTGACTACTTCTTTACACGTAACTCAGACCCTGGGCATTATTAGGACTCCTGTGCTTGGGCCATTCTTCCTCACGTGGGAAGGGTAGTGTTGTGCGGTTGAGAGTCTATTAGAACCCCCAAACACTTAGAGCTATTACTAATTTCTGATGGCCAGAACATCCTCATCTTAGAAACGGGTGGTGTTCGTATCAAATGAAGCAAATGAAGTAAATGCGTATGAAGTGCCCGGCCCTCTGGCAGTGGTTTCTGTGCCGTTCTTACTAAGTAATTCCAGTTTGGTCCCTGTTGGCAGAGAACGTCCTATGAATGGTACATTCCGAAAGGGATCTTGAAGAGCGGCTGGATGAATAAGCACCTGACCCT